ATTTTTGAAGTTTTAAGAAAATTTGCATTAGAGATGCTCGAATATCAATATCCTGTTGCCAAGCTTTAATATAGAATGAATAAAAAAATATAAATAATAAATAATTTAATCAAATACAATATAAAGAATAATAAACATAATAACGACAATATAAAGCTATGCATAATAAGATAATATACGTAATAAACACAATAAATTAAATATATTACCAGAAATTATAATCTTAAAAAACTTATTTTGAATCGTTCGAGTTTCTTGTGAAGTGAAATTCATAATAATCTTTTCTCGACCACCTTTTAAAACGTGATCTTTGATTTGGTTCAAGTCTAAATCCTCATATGGAAATTTTTGAAATAATAATTCCCAAAGCAGCATTCCAAAACTTTTTGTTGAAAAAATGAAAGATAAATAATTGAGAAAGAAAAGACAGGTAAAATAAAGAAATAAATGAAAATACAAGGATATAAATATTTACCTAAATATTTCACATTTGAAAGTAAATCTCACATGTCTCAACATCTTTTCAGGAGACATCCAACGTAAACTATTTGTTTCCGGTCTGTTATAACGAAAGGATTGGAGATTTGATAATTTTGGTACAAGTTGTTTAGTTATCTAACAATGGCAAAATAAAACTTATTATATTTATAAAAAATAATAAATTAACAATTATTGTTTACACACATATTTTAACTTACCATGATATTTGCGCATCTAATATCGCCATGAAGAATATCACATGTTTGTAAAAAAACTAGACCACGACATATATCAAGAGCCATTTGAATTTTTGAACGCAAACCAATATCATATTTCATATAAACTTCTTGAAGTGAACCAAAATCTGCCCATTCAAAAACCATAACATTTCGGTCTTCAACTTTTGAAAGACCATAGAATTTAAGAATATTTTTTGATTATTTTAGTTTCATTAATATGGCAAGACAAATGTTTTTTTCTTTTTTTTTTTTGACCTTTGGTTGCGTTATAAATAATACCAATAGTTGAAGCTTTACATGCGACATCTTCCTTGTTACTTAATGTTTTTTTTCATAATAATTGTTCCCATAATAGTTCCACGTCGATCGTCGAGTCTCCCAACTTGGGGATCTTTTAATTCCTTTGGATCTATCGCTATCTCCATTAATGGTGCATTAGGTTTGGGATCCTTCAATTGATTTTTGAGAATAATAATTTCCGTAATAGCCGTATTAACTTGTTGATAGGAATCAATAACATTCTCACCGATAGTACTCAAAAACTAGGTAGAAAAAAAAATAACTATAAGCTTCATAAACTTTTTTTGCTTTAATTCGTTTATAATAGGATTTACCTTTGTCATTTCTTCAAGATCCGAAATAAGACTTTCTTGATCAATTCTTCTTTGATCATCATTACATAAAGACGTTGTAAAATGTAAATCATTCATAACGGATTCAAACTCACTGATAAGCGATTCAAACTTTTCTTTGATTGAATTGGCGTGGAAATGCTTTAGAAATCCAGAAAGTGTAGAAATATTATCCATAAACCATTTTATTTTATTCATGACTCTAACAAAACGATGGAAAGCCCTAAAATATCCTTCATCCCGAAAATTTTTTTTATTTTCTTTTATTCTTCTTTTTAAATTTTTAATTTCCATTTCAGCTACAGTTACACGGTCCATAAGAGAATTGCAAATATTTTTATTATATTTGGCATTTTCATAAATAGCCACTGTTTCATTAATAACAGTGGTTATAGTAGAAAATAAAGGTTGATAAGGTTGAAAAGCATCTCCAACAACTCCAAATACACCCGAAGCATTTTTCGCTGCTTTTGAGTTTGAAATACTTGTACGTTTTTCTTGAACAGCATTATCTTGAAAAATCGTAGGTGTCTCATCAATAACAATACCCTCGTTTTTCCATTTTGATAAATTTAACGAAGAAATTTGATTCATTGATGCAATTGAAATAGAATCTTTACCGAACATTTCCATTGAAATATTTTCATCGCTTTTTAATTGAATATTTTCATTAGAAGTATTATAAACATTTTCTAATTGAATATTTTCAAGAGAATCACAAATCTTTTCTATAGTTGGTCTCAGATTTGAATCATCTTTCCATGCATTTGAATAAACGTTGATATAATCTATTGGCGTTCCTCTAATATGTTCTTCTCTTTTACCAGAAACAACAATTTGCAATGTTTCCGTATCTTGAATATTACAAAATGGAGGTCTTCCACTTGATAATTCCCAAAAAAGAACCCCTAGACTATATATATCCGATGTCTTATTTCTCTTATATGCTTTTGCATTTCGTAAATATTCGGGATCCGTATATGCTATCATTCCACCTTCAAAGGAATTTGAGGGGGCATCTAATTGATGAGTTGACCCTAGAATTGTTATCATTAATTTTCCTTCATGAACCAATATATTCTTTGAATGCTATTAAAAACAATTTAGATTTACAATTAATTCATTAATTCGAATGCTTATTATATATATATATATATATATAGCATATACTTACCAAATCTTTGTGAACAATATTTTTTTGATGAATATAATATAGACCTCGTGAAATATCTTTAGCCATACTAATTTTGATTTTCCAATCAAGTTCTTCAAAGTTATTATGTAAGTAAGTTCGTAAATTTCCATCTTCAGCATATTGTAACACTAGATAGCATTTCTCGGAATAATCTAAATAATATTTAAATTAAGTAATAAATATTAAAATTCAATATATAATATATTTAATAATTTTAAGGGTAAATATTATTTGTCACCACTGGGCAAAATTACATAATTCCCTGATCCTAACCCTAACTTTAACTTTGTTAATTTTGCCCAACGATGACTATCACCAGCGGTGACAAGTATTTTTTTTTTAATTTTAATTCACCTATACTAACTCCGAAAAATTTAGTAACATTATCGTGGTTGAGATTTTGTAACTAGTAGTTTCAAAAAAAACATTTATTCTAAAAATATTTTAATTAATAAAAATAAAATATTTTAATTTAAAAATATTTTAATTAATGAAAATAAAAATATATATTACCTCATTCATAAATTTGTTACAAAATTCATTATTTGTATTGTGTAAACATTTTAGTGCGATATCTCTTCCTAGAGTTTCCGAATAAGCGCGCTTTACTTTACCAAATCCTCCACCTTCAATTTTTATAATATTTTCAAAAGTACTATATTCAAATTTAGTAATAAGTCCATTTTCTATGGCACTTTTAAACAAATCTTTTTTATTATGGGAGAAAGGCATTCTCTTTGGAATAATAAATTACTTCGACTATCTGGTAACCTACACAAGGAATTGGATTATTTAAATGGATAAGTTACACCCGACGAGGAAGTTGCTAATATTTCCTTTTTTGAATTTCGATGATAATTAGGTGATACGATGATTACAATGATAATTGCGATTTAGCACTTTTCGTTTCGTTTTGTTTATATAAAAAAAAATAAATGTTTCAAAAACCATTTTTATGAAACTTTCGTCTCTTTTTAATAGTTGAAACTATTTATAACTGAATGAGAGGTCAAAGGCTTTTTCGTCAAGGAATTATTAATTCCTTGTCAATATATTTAATTTTTAAAATATTGACTTTCAATTCAAGAATTCCAAGTGTAAGAGCAGCACTTCCAGAACCCAGGTGGGGTCATGGCGCAGTATTAATAAAAGACGTGTGAGTGTTTTGAATTCGAGCGTTGTGGCTGAATTAAAGATAAGTGGTGCGAAGCTACATTTCTGACGCTTATACATTATTTACATATTATTCCTTTAGATCTAATTTACCGTACTTTGTCTATATATCTAGAGTAATGATTTAAATATTATAGAAGAAAATAAGTTCTTGTTATTAATAATAACCTATCTGATCTATTTCTTTTTTATATATTTACACATTATATATATATATATATATATGTAAATAGATTATATATATGTGGAGGGAAAATAGGAACAAAGTATTCTAGTCAAAATTCGGGCGAACTTCTTTACCTTAATATATCAAATTCATTTCCCATATCAATGCCAGACTGGCAGAATGGAGAAGTAGGACCAAAAGTTGCATACCATACTGTTAGTTTTGGTGGTTCCCAGAATGAACTTTTGGTAATTTATGGAGGAGAATCACTCGAAGAATATCCACCAACAAATTCGTTATTTTATTATGACACAGCCACAGAAAATTGGGAAATTCCTATTATAGTAGCATCTAAAAGAAGACAAGAACATACGGCAGTTACCAGATTAAATGATCCGTCAATTTTCATATTCGGTGGAATTTCTGACACCAATGATACTAAAATACAGCTAAACGAATTATTCGATTTGAATATTAGTAATGGTTCATGGAGCACTTTAAGTCCCGATGAAAATACACCTTCGCCAAGATATCATCACACAGCCACTATACTTTCTGATGGTAAAATGTATATAATAGGTGGAATCTCGGGTGAAGATTTAGTTGATATATCACAAATATATGTTTATGATACTTATAAGAGTCAATGGTCCGTTCAGGTATACGTAATTTATATATTTAATTTTTATAAAAAGTATTAAAATATTAAAAATATTTCTTTTATTTTCTTTACGAAAGAATGCAACCGGGAATCCGCCGTTAAATCGTAGAGACCACGCCGCTGTTGGAAGTAAATTAATAATATTTCTTTTAATTTATCAAATATTTACGTTCATCGAGTTATTAATAATATTAATATATTAACAATAGCAAATGATGGGAAAGTAATAATTCATGGAGGTGTAGATATAACATTTTTAAATCCATATCAAGATATTGGAGTTTTAGACACAACAAATATTCCTTACAAATGGCTTTCGATTAATGTGGAGGGTAGCATTCCTCCTGGAAGGTACTCTCATACCGCTACCATGGTTGGAACTAATATGATAATAGCGTTTGGTAATTATTATATTAGGAAAATTTTGTATTTTATTGAAAAATTATTTAATATATTTCATTAATCTTTAGGTTTAACGGTAAATGATACTTCAGATGCAAATATTTATACTCTTGGTAAAATTATAAAAATTAAATTTTCAATGCAATGTTAATATTGATTAAAATCATAAGATTTATTTAAATTAAAATTATTATTATTATTATTAAATAGACACGACAACTTATAAGTGGGTTGATGAATATCAACCTAATAATTTAGAATACACCAGCACAACGCCACCCGAAGTAATGAAACAAAGCCCAGAAGTGAAACCAACAAATACGAAAAAATCCTCGGAATCCACAAATATAATGATAATAGTATTAATATGTATAGGTAGCATGTTTATATTATCAATATTTTTGGGTATAACATGTTATTGGTACACTCACAGAACGGAAAAGGATAATAAATTTCATTCTAAGAGTTTTTTGGAACCACGCCCACAATATCCAATAAAGAATGAAAGGACGCTAACGATAGATGATTCAAATCAGCTGATTAGTTTGCCACCAATACATCCATTTACAATTACGGATGAAACACAAGAAATGACATTGGAGGATAGAGTGATGGGAGCTGATATCCAAACAATTAATAGGTCTTTAGTTCCTAAAGCTACTTTGCATGTAGTAAATCCTGACAAAGAACAAGATGATAAAGGTGGTGGTTGACCGTGATGTTTGCATATTTAAAATACTTTATTTGGTATATTTGTTCATAAAGTATTTATGTGTGTATTTGTTTTCGAAAGAATTATCATTATCATAACTAATTGTAATATAACGATTTAACGTTGCTATATTTAATATAGTTTAAGATATTGAATTCAAACACTGTATTTATATATTTTTAAGAAAGAACGCATATAGTTTCGATATTTTCTTTATGAAATATTGTATAAAAAAAAATAGGGTGAATTAATATTTTGCGACTTTTTTTTTCGTTGCGTTTTTACAGACATTTGTTTTATAAAAAAGTATTTTTATGAATCTCATTTTAATAATAGACATAAATATGATCTAAGGTAATTTATTTAAAATAAAATATAAATAAATAATAAATATCAAATATGAAATAAATAATTCTAGATTAAAAATCAATTTTATTTTCTTTAAGGATCTTAATGGATCGAGGATCATTATTCAAAGCAGCTAATTTTAAATATTTTGTTCCTAATTCGACATCCTTTATACCTAATATCTTTCCATTCAAATACATATCACCTAAATTATATTGGGCTGCAACATTACCACCATTTGCTGCCTTTGTAAGGTATGAAACAAAAACTTTGCGATCAAAT